TGGGATCTTTTTTTTCTTGAAGGGTCGATTGTGCTCTTTCAAATCACATTGGGTATGCTCAAACTAAAGGTGAGGTAGTCTTTTTTTATAATATTTTTAGTGTATTAAAGCATCCAAACAGGTCTTGAAAAATACAGAACTCTGGAAATTGGGGTATGATTTTAAAAAATGCATAAACTTTGAAACTGAGTGAAAAAAAAAATCACTGAATATTTGTTTCATTCATATTCACACTTTAGGCTGACTTAACCCTGTTTTTATACCTTAGTTTTCAATTGGTTTGTAGACGAGTTAGATTCTAAGAAGGTTTTTTTTAATCTAAAATGTACATAATACCTTAAATAATAATCAAATAACATTTATAGAAATCTTTAGATACAGTGTCGTATCAGATATTAATAAATAACATGAAAATGTAATAATACGGCTTGAAAATTATTCATTGAAAAAGAACTAAATTTTTTAAATTGTTGTAATGAAATGTTAATTAAGTGAAGAGTGCCCCAAGGTTCAAAATGTGGACTTGTATTATTTGTATAATTTATATATAGATGATTTGTGTGATTTAAAATTAGATAGTAAAACGGATACATTTCCTAATTGATATAGTCCTGGCTTTTATTTCTAGTACTTTACAAGAAATGCAAAATAATAATGTGATTTACTATTAGCACTTAACTTGTTTAATGAAAATAATTAATATCTAGAAAATAAAACAAATTATGTATTGTTTTAATTGGAGTTACTCGAATTAATTGGAGTAACCCAGTGAATAAAGTGCTGGATTGTAGCAAAAAAAATGGGGCTATCAAATCTCACTATTGGATTTCACAACTGTACCCCAAGAGTTGACAGTGGATGTTGTTGGCTAGCAGCCTTCAAAATTAGTAGTAGCTAGTGCAGATTATATCATGCTCAGAGTAGCATAAGAACCGATATAAATCAATAGAAACCAGCTTAACCTTCCTCAAAAGTTTAAGTTCTCAGGTGTTTATTCTAGTTATTCCTTCTAAGTGTTCAGAACAGTTGCTATAAAGAAAATTACACTTATACTCAGTTTGATTAGCAAGAATATTAGGTGACTTGCCTGTTAGACAAACTTATGGGATAATCATGTTTGATTTCTGATGTAGATATCTCCATATTCTTCTTTTCTTGTTTATAGAGAGCTGTAGTAGCTTTCTCCAAAAGCATCACATCTATGAGTTAAATAAATTAGCTTTATTTTGAATTAAATTGATTCTCAGTAGTCATTCATAAAAGCTGCAACCGCCAAACTTGCTTGTTTATAAAATATGATCTACAGTTGGGTTTGAGTTAAATTGATTCTCAGTTATCATTCATAAAAGCTGCAACCGTCAAACTTGCTTGTTTATAAAATATGATCTACAGTTGGTTTTGAGTTAAATTGATTCTCAGTTATCATTCATAAAAGCTGCAACCGTCAAACTTGCTTGTTTATAAAATATGATCTACAGTTGGTTTTGAGTTAAATTGATTCACAGTTGTCATTCATAAAAGCTGCAACCGTCAAACTTGCTTGTTTATAAAATATGATCTATAGTTGGTTTTGAGTTAAATTGATTCTCAGTTGTCATTCATAAAAGTTGCAACTGTCAAACTTGCTTGTTTATCAAATATGATCTACTGTTGGCTTTGAGGACAAAAATATCTGAATTAAGCTTGTATGCTGTTGCATATAGACCTCGCTAAAGCTTTTGTAAAAGAAATGTGTAACGCTTTGCCGTACTATTGTATGCTCTGCATTCATTAATTATCAAATGTATTCAGTATGAGATTTTGATTGCATTTTATTAAGTTTACTATGAATATTTAATCAGAAATAGCTTTAGAATTGTAGGGAGTGCATCCACACAGCATCTTGTAAAATTAAGTTTCACATTTCAGTGTACTCATTACAAAACTGACTTCACACTATAACTATAACCACTAGTCAAAATGGTTTTGTACAAATAAATAACCTGTGTGATGTACAGATGTGCATATTGTGCAAATGATCATATGAAGTATGAATTGTGCTCTTATTTCTTGAATAAATATTTGATAGTTGTGTTGAATAAGTGATATATATATATATATATAGTATGATTTGATGTACAAATAAGTATTTTGAACATTTTACAAACAAGAAAGGTTTGTTTACACATAATTCACCGTAACAAAGTAAATATACCAAAAGTAATTTTACATTGAAAATCTACTGAATCCAAAATTTTGAACATAAATCGGTAATAAGTATACATTTATTTATTTTTATTTTGTGACTACATAAACTTACCATTTCTTATTTGTTTTATTTTAATCTTGTACCATTTTTTTTTTTTCAATTTATATTTCCATGGAGTATGCTGATTATTATGACTTGTGTTGTAAGTAGTGTGTTGCAGTTTTTTCTTAAGGTCACCTAGGTCCTTCAACTCAACTCGTACGTGAGAGTAAAAGCCACAAGAAGACTATTTTTTTTTTTTTCATCCCTGGAATGTGACAGTTAATGCCATATAATTGCATGTACAGTTTTAACGTGGTATGTCAAAATTAATGAGTATTTTGATAAACGTCATTATAATATGTTTGTTATCATCCCAGTAAACTTTACTTATTTCTTAGATTGTTCTTTGAACTTTACAGGAACCTGAACTCAAGCAGCTTGAAAATTCAGCTCAGATCTTTAATGCATTGTCAGACATTCCTGGAGAGGTTGAAGATGTTGATCAGTTGTTTGACACAACTTTTCGTCTGGCGTCTGTGCTCTCTGAGGTTGTCATAGAAACTCACCGGAGAAAACATCTAGCTTACCTGATGGCAGATCAGGGAACTCTTGTGAATCCAGAAAATGCTAAAAATTTGCCAAAGCAGGTATTAACAAAAGACCTAAAAGGTTTCTTTGGTATCAACTTATTAATTATTCAATGTAATAAAGAAAACTTCTTGTAATTATGGGAATGTATAATAATTTTTTCTGGAAAGTCTTTTATTTATCGTACAATTAAGAAGGAAGTTCATTGAGTAACCTACAGGAAATACTATAGGAAGATAATTTTAGTTAAATACTCCTTTTATATTTCAATTTATTCTAATTAATAAAATGAGGGATTTGTCAGGAAATCTTCCTATAAAAAATTTAATTATGTGTGAAGCAAAGCTTAAAATTGTTAAAGTTTCTCTGTCTTAAATATAGTCTAAGTATTGTAGCACACAAATAAAAATGCATAAAATTGAAGTAATATATTTCAAAGGTTTATTAAAAGTAAAGCTGCTTTGTGTGTAAGCTTATCGTATTCTAAAGATGTACTTAACTGTAAGGAGAATTTATCATTCTAGGGTATGACATTCCCTGGGTTCCAAATTAACTTAACTTTTTCACAATTTCCTTAGCATTTGTCAAAAAGAACTTTTACAGATGAAATGTAGGAGAAATTGGAGAAAAAAATGAATATTTTTCTTCTGGGAAAAAATGGATATTAATATTTGTCTCCATTGTGATAATATTTGTTTACAATAATATATTCTTAAATTAAAATTAAATGGGAAAAAAACAAAAAACAACACTTGCTCAAAATGTTCTTATCTTTTTGTGTTTAATAAACAACCAATCACATTTTTTTTTAAAGTCTCAATCAATCTTAACAAGTAATATACGAGTATATCTTTCTTTATAATACAAATGGTTAATTTCAAAAAAGTACTAGTGGTTTTAAGAAATATTGTACAAAGAAAGTCAATATTACATAAAACCAAATCTAAGTCTAAATCTTAAAATTAGTAAATATTTTTTTAAATGAAAGTAATAATTGAAACTGAATGAAAACTAAAACCAAAAAACCCTAATTGAGGATAAAACCTATACTTGAGAACCTATACTTCCAAGTTCTGTATGTGTGGAGTAAAAACCAACACATAAAGAAGAACAGCATATAATTAAAAAAACACAAAACTAACCTGAAAGAGCTATATGAAATAAACACAGAAAATATAAAAAACAAAAATGAAAGTATTAAGTATTAGTTGGTGGCACTTATAAACTGGAACGGAGGCAAATGGTAGTGAAGTGGCTGTGGTAGGTAAAGGGGGAGAAAGAACAGTAGCTTTGAGTATTAGAGTATAAACACTTTATGTGAAGAACTGTCAGCAAACCCTCTTTTAAGTATATTTATTTCAAATTGACCAGCTTTTAATGATTCTTTTACAACATATGTTTACTTACAGCACTTGAACCGACGTCAGTTACGCAGGTCCCGATCAATGGTCCAGCTGATTCTCTTCGGTGATGACGACAATAAAGATGATGTTCGAAGTAAGAACATTCGACAGACAGAAATTCTAGTGGACTTAAGAGAAGCTATTCTCCAGGTTGCTCGGCACTTTCAGTCAGTTGATCCCAAGATTAAAGTGGTAGGTTTTTATAATCAGTACAAACAAGGAAATATCCAACTGATCATCATATTGGTGTCTCAAATTGCCCCATCTTAGCTGTTTCTAGATGATTGACTAAGGAAAAGGTTTTGTTTTATTTTAAATACTGGACCTAAACAAGCAATCTATTGGTTTGACCCTAAAATGCTATAATAATACAGACAGTTTCTTTAATGAAACTTTTAAAAACGAGTTAAAAACTTCAATTACCCTAAACCCACATCATGTAGAAAGCTTTCTAATAGTCAAGATCAGCTGGGAATAAGGAATGATCGCCTAGTTTTGAATCATAGTCACACTTGTCATCCTTTATCGATGTTATTCAAGGTGGTTTTATTTTTTAGATTATATTATTTATGTCATTGAATACAGTTGTTTATAAATATGTTTTATTTTTGAAATATTTCAGACAACAATGGTTTTAGATTATACAAACACGATTGTTTGTACCAGGCAGTTGATGCAGCATTGTATGGTACTTGTGTTAGTTTTAGTATGATGCATCCAAAATTGAAAGGCCTGGTAGTTAGGGTACTTGACTCACAATCTTTGGGTTGTGAGTTTTATATTTCATGTGTCCTGAATAAGCTTTGGGAAAGCTTATCATCATAAATTGGTTTTTAAAAGCTGTTTTTTGACAATCTGTCTTCTTTTATAAAATTTATGAGTGTCTACACAAGACCTAAAATATAAAAAAGAAACACCTTTACTCTACATCAAGTTAACTGTATTCAATTCATTTTATCACTAATGATGCCTAAGGTTGATTTATCTTTATCTTATGGACTTTTAGGTTCTTGTATCAGACTATTCTATGGAGAGCCATAGCAGGGATCATGAGAACTTTGCTAATGTGTCTCGCAGTCGAAGACGACGAGCTAAAGCGTTACTGGATTTTGAAAGACATGATGATGATGAACTTGGTTTCAGGAAAAATGATATTATAACAGTAAGTAAATAACAAACTGTTAACATTCTAGAGAACTGTAATTATGTTTATTTAAGTTCCTGACTAAAAGTGTTGACCTGCATGATTTAACTCGTATTTTAGATATATAACTTTTTCTTCCTTGTATGGTACTCTTAATACTTAGCATAGTTAAAACAGATCAGATTTAATTCATATAAGTATATATAAGGAACAATTTTTGATAATAAGGTTGAAGTACAAATTTTATACTAAATATTGTACTATTTGTTTATCACTAAACAATTAAGCAATGAGACATATCAAATGGACAGGACAGTTCCGTTGGTGTGCATCAATAGTTCTTGATTTATGTCCAGTGAAGTTGAAGTATTAGTAGAGATAAAACAAAATTTGTAAGACGCGTATACTATTAATGGATGCATGGGAGTATTAATAATACAGTATCAGTGTCAATAATTGTTATTTCTAGATTTGTGAAACAAAATAGAAGTACTTACATTTTCAGTAATTTATTGAAAACTTAGTTAAAGATTTAAAATATATATTGTATACAAGCTGACTATAAAGCTATAAGCCAGTATCTCATCTCTGTAGTAATTGTTAATGATGCAAAGTTTGATACTTGCAACTTTATTTAGCAAGAATATTTTTTTAGTACAACAAATTTCAAAATATTTCCAACTGTAGCTACAATGATGGAATAATTCTGAAAGAAGGATACAGCCAAATTTTGTCTCCTTACTCAACTGTTCTTATCAGAATCAGCAAATATAGTATGTTGTGTATTTTACTTGTTGGTTGAATGATATCTTTCTCACAATACTTCAAAGTATTTGTGATAAAATATACGAGATATAACTATAAATTTTCTAACTGATGAGTAAAGGGCCTCAAAATACTGAATCAAAATACTACTCATCATAGCATGCAATAAGAGTTAGTTTGTATTAACTGCTATGGTTTGAAGTCTCACCTATTTTTGTAACTGTTGTGTAATATCTCAATATTATGGATGAAATTGATTTTAATATGCCCCAATATGTATTGATTTTGTAGAAATAATTTTTAAAAGGAGTAATAATATACCTGGTTTGTTGTCTCACTTCTACAGTTAGACATAATAGAAATTTACTTGTAAGAAAACATTAGAGTGAAGTTTAAAACCTTAATCAGTGTTGTAATGTGAACCTTTAAGTGTGTGTATGTTTAAAAGTAGAACAGTTGGTAAGGTGTATGTCTAAGGTCCTTCACATTGTGTTTTTGTTTTCTACTTTAAATTTGTTTTTTTCCAAAGAAAGAAATACCACAGGAGGAATAATACAGAACAATGAGTAACCAACATAAAATGTTGGTAACAAGATTTTCCACTGTCAGGTCAAGTGATACCTTGAGGATATATATATATATATACATTTATTATTTTTCTGTTGGATTGACCAATAATAATGTGGATGGGTACATACCCGGAGATAGAGAGCATGTAGAACTGTGTATATAATAATGCAGTGTTTTCTCAGCCTGGAAAAAGAGTTCTTCATATAGACAGAGAGCTCTCAACAGATACATCCTTTAAAGGTACTGTCTTTTGATCTGCACAATTATCACTTTGATTCCTTTTAAGTAGTAAATAAAGATTACTTTTTTACTTTGTGCACATCATGATTGATCTCTTTCTTGAAACTCAGCTTAAGTTTGAGAATTCATTATTAACTCATTATGAACCTCCTGTTATTAATGGTCCTGTCAAGTAAGTCAGTTTATTTTGAACTACGACAAGAGTAAGTATAGTATGAATCTTTTTTGAAATAAATGCCAAAAGAGAAGAAAGCATTTAAATTACAACACAAGTTTGATAACTTCTAGATCATCAACCAGAAGGATGAACACTGCTGGATAGGTGAACTTAATGGACTTAGAGGCTGGTTTCCTGCCAAGTTTGTTGAACTTTTAGATGAGAGGAGTAAACAGGTAAATAGATATTATTGTAGGTCTATGGTTTTAACTTGATAGAAAAATGTAAATAATTATATAGCAAAATTTATTTCCTTTTGAATCTATCGTGAATAAAAAAAAAAAACTACAAATTTAATTATGCTTTTAAGTGATGCACAACACATAGACATTGAACTCCTAACAATAAACATTTTTTATTAAGATAGCTTACTGTGTTCTTCCATTAATTCAGTTGCTGCAATAATTAGCTTAGTACTCTAAAAATTAGTTCATTACTGTAAATTATTTTAACTAATTTTTAGAGTACTGAGCTAATTATTGTGGTACTGATCTAATTACTACAGTACTAATTATCACAGCAACTGAACTAATATACTACTAAATTAATGATTTTTGATACTGTAATAATTAGATCAGTACCATGGTAGTTAGTTAAGCACTGTGATAATGATATTAGTACCATGATATTTAGCTTAGTACTCTAGTAATTAATTCAGTATTCTGATAATTATTTCAGTATTCTAATCATTTGTTCAGTGTTAAAATAATCAGATCTGTATTAATTAGCTATGATAATTAGTTCAGTAATGTAATAATTAGCTCAATACTATAATAAGTAGTCCCATACTTTAAAATTGTATCTGTTTACATGTATAGGCTTTCATTAAGCTGTATTTTTTTCAGAATTATGTTGAATTCTGAACTTACTGAAAATGACATATGTTTATATGGCCATGGTTTATAAATCTAACTTTACATGTTAGATAAATGCTGAATATTTTCTTAAATATCTTGCAATTTCCATAAAGAAGAGTTTGATATGACATGCTGCTAAATATGGTCCATAATTTCAGCTATGGGTGCATTATATAAAAAAATGACAGTGAATTTTGTAATTCAGTACAAAAAGCATTTGCAGACATGATGCTGCCAGACATCTACATTCCCTTTGAATGTTGGTTTAAAATTAAGGACTGCTGTACCCGAATTGTAGGGGTGGTGGCTTTTTTATTCACATGTGTATAAAGTGCTGTTGAGGGTATAATCTTTTATATAACAATTACACAAATTTTAATATGAAAGAAACAACTATAGAAATGTAGGCAATCGGTGAAACTAGTTTTAAGAACAACAGCCAATTGAATTGCTTGTTTCATCTAACTGGTATTATGTTTATTATTTTCAGTATTCTATTGCAGGCAATGACTCTGTAACGGAGGCTATTACTGATCTTGTTTCATCTTACTGGTATTATGTTTATTATTTTCAGTATTCTTGTGCAGGCGATGACTCTGTAACGGAGGCTATTACTGACCTTGTACGTGGAACGTAAGTAGCTAAACATACTTGGTCAGTTCTACTGTAAAATACTGAATTATTTCTTTTATTGATGCTTAAAGCTTTGGTGTAATTAAACATTCATACCAATACATTACAAGTAATCATTCAACAACATATTGCTGACTGCAACAAAAAAGTGTAATAAACTTATCTTCTGTGAACTGAAAGTCTCGTTTAGTCATATTACATTATTTTTTTTTTTACTTTTATCTCTTTTTTGGAATTTTATAAAACATTTTATAATGTAATTTTTTGTTTAAAACTTGAATTTCAAAATCCTATTCTCCCTATGTAATTGTACGATACTATTTTACCGATGTAATTAAATAACTAAAAGATGTTTTTTATATCTTATGGTAAGTTTATGAAATTTTTTTTTCCTTGTGTGCACATGGGAGAAGTTAAACAGAGCAATATTTAGCTTCGTCGTCTCTAGTTAGTGGTGAGCCACACTGTGAATGTGAGGTTTTGTGGCTAGTGTCCCTTTACCGTTAAAAACACAGTTTGTTCTACACTTTGAGGCTGTTTGTGCATGAGAAGAATGATTGTCAAATCTCACTATTTAATCTGATGTGAATAACCCTCTATTTGGCAGTGGATGATGTTGATTAGCTATTAGTTCAGAATTAGGGATGTCTACGTACAGATAGCCTTCTTGTAGTTTTGTGTGACATCCAACAAAACAAATAAACATTTTTTTTGAGTAAAAGATTGTTGAAATAGATAATTTTTTAATTCAGTTTTGAAAGTTGAAATGCAAGTATACACTTGGAGTGTATTTGACAGTGGATGATGTTGATTAGCTATTAATTCAGAATTAGGGATGTCTACGTACAGATAGCCTTCTTGTAGTTTTGTGTGACATCCAACAAAACAAATAAACATTTTTTTGAGTAAAAGGTTGTTGAAATAGTTAATTTT